TGCTTTCTCCTGCAGGACTGCATGATCTGCATGGAGAAGCTGTCCTCCCCCTCGGGCTACAGCGACTCCTGCCAGTCCAGCACCATCAGGCCGGAGGCAGTGGGCCGCCTGAGGAACTGCCAGCACTCCTTCCACATGCTCTGCGTGCTGGCCATGTACTCCAACGGGAACAAGGTACTGAGCTGGCCCCTCTCAGCAGCCCTGCCTGCAGGTGGCTGTGCTGGGCAGCTCTGATGTGGCTTCTCTCCCCTGGCAGGATGGCAGTTTGCAGTGCCCCTCCTGTAAAACCATCTACGGAGAGAAAACTGGTACCCAGCCCAAGGGGAAGATGGAGATCTCCACTTTCCCCCAGTCCCTGCCAGGACACAAGGACTGTGGGACAATCCGGATTGTGTATCACATCAGCAGGGGCATCCAGGTGAGTGCCCAGCATGCTGGCAGACAGCACAAGCTGGGAGAGCCTCCCAGAAAAGTCCTGGGAGCCAGTGCAGCACCTGCTGGCAGCCCTTTGCTGAGCAGCCTGTGGTTCCTGGAGCCAGCAGCTGCTCTGGCTGCTCTTCAGCATGTGAGGGGCTCCTCCATCAGAGATCTTTCCCTGAGCAGCCCCAGCTGGTCACCTGCAGTAAAGTCTGATGTTTGCCTGAAGCAGGGAGGAGACTGCCCATGATCACAAAGTGGGAGGCATCCCATGGTCTGGTTTCACAGCTCATGTTGGTTTCAGTGGTGGGAGTGAACTTTGAAAGGTTTGAGCTGTGTGGCCTTTTTAAGGTGTTACCAGGGCACATGGAAAAAGCAGTGTTTTGGGGCTGTCTCTCACCAGAATTTAGGGAGATTTTGTATCCCAGCTGCTTTTGGAGGATCCGTAGTACTCGTGTCCCATGAGAACAACAGACACGTACTCACCAGCAATGCCTTGCTGCCTCTACGTGGAAGAGCTGGTTTGGGATGGGCCTGTGTCAGATCCTGCTGCTGATGTCCAAGTCCTGTGAAGAAGATGGATATGTCCATGACAAATCTGTCTCATCTCTTGCAGGGCCCGGAGCACCCCAACCCTGGGATGCCATACACAGCCAGAGGCTTTCCTCGTTATTGCTACCTACCAGACAATGAGAAGGGCAGGAAGGTGAGGTATCACACCCTGAGAACACCACCCTTAAGCTGTCAAGCTCCTGACAAGCTGCATTCATGGCACAAATCTCCTAGCTGCTGCTCCTAGCTTTGTTTTTCCTTTCCTCCCCTAGGTCCTGGAGCTCCTGAAGGTGGCTTGGAAGAGACGCCTGATTTTCACAGTGGGCACCTCCAACACCACGGGCGAGAGCAACACGGTGGTGTGGAACGAGATCCACCACAAGACTGAGATGGACTCAAACCTCAGTGGCCATGGCTACCCTGACCCCAACTACCTGGACAATGTGCTGGCAGAGCTGGCTGCCCAGGGTGTCACCGAGGACTGCCTGGGCCAGTGAGCCTCAGGGGCCACCTAGTGCACTTATTCCTGATGCCTTAAGTTCCCGTGTCCGACCGCCCGTCACACTGAGCAATAACAGTTCCGTGGGAGCCCTGCCCGCTCTTCACAGTTTTTTGGTGGGGGGGTGTGGGGGAGGGAAGGATATTTTTGTAGAAGCTGTGCTTGTGTCTCTGGGTGGGATTGATGGCTGCAGCCAGGAGCAGCTGGGATGGGACTGAGGTGACAGATCCCCTGGGGAAGGCAGGCCCTTCCTTTGGTTATGCCTGGGGACAGGATGGGACAGGAGAGTGCCTTGCTTCCAGTAGACCACCTGGAAGTCAGACAAGGTCCTCCTTTTGGGACACATCAGCTCCCTGTCTGAGGCACCTCTTGCCTCCCTCCTGCTGTGTATCTCTGCTGGGTCCCAATAAACTCTTCATTCTCACAGCAAAACCCTGCTCTGCCTCCCTGCTGCTTCAGGGCTTGGGGTGGGTCTCTGGGGAACCAGCCTGCTCCATGGAACCACAGACAATTAATCCAGCCAGGAGGGAAAGCTCGGCTCTGCTGGAGGGACACACATCTCAGTGAGGCAGGGCACTGGTCCTAGGGGTTGTGGTTCCTGCCTGCCAGTGCTTTGGCCACTGGAGTTTGGTGTCTGTGGCCATGGTGCCAGCAGAGGTGACTTACCAGTGTCCACCCTGTGGGAAGTTGCAGCCCCTTGCTCTTGGCTGTGAGCTGCCAGCCCCCCTTCTCTCATCCCAAGGACAAGAGGCAGAACCTGTGCCTCTCCTCTCAGGTGAAATGGCAGCAATTCAGTGAAGCCTGTGCAGGGAGGAGCTGCTGCTGCTGCAGGGATGCTGGTGCCAGCAGCAGGTGACAGTCACCTTCCTCCCAGCAGCACTGGTGGGCAGCCCAGGTGCCAGCAGCGATGCTCTGGCTGGGAGCCTGTTCCTGCTCTGGCTGCTGGCACCTTGCAAGTGGGATATTGTCCCAGTACATTGCTGCACATTGTCCCCAGGCTGCTTGTCAGATGGGAGCTGATGTCTTTTGAAGAGCTGTTTCTTGTCACCTGGGGACTGATATATTTTGAAGAGCTGTTTCTGGTTCTTCCTCTCCCTGTAGCCACCAGAGCCAGCTGCACGTTAAATCCATCCAATCCATCCCTTTGGCACTGGTGCCATCTGCCATTTCACCTCCTTCCTGGGAAATCTGGGATGGGGCTGGGCTTTGTGGCAGCACTACCTTGGTCTCCTCCTGGGACCAGCACATCCTGAACCAGATAAGGGGCACTTTGCTTCCTGTCGTGCCAATGTGAAGATAAAAGGTTTTTCTGAGCCATTGAGTGGTGGAGCTTTCCCCAGTGTCCATCTTGTGCCTGCAAGCTCTAAGAAACCCCTCAAATATCCAGTGGCATCTGGGCACGCTGCAGGAATGGCAGCTCCATGGGAGCTGCGGTGACGTGTCTGTGTTGCTAAGCTCTACACAAATGGGCTCTGTCTGCTCCTCTCCCACCCTGGTTGCAAAAGGGAGAGGTCTTGAGTTCAAACCTCAGCTTTGTATCCCTGGATTATGCTACCCCTGCAATCAAGCAGTGAATTGAAGCAAAAATTGAAGCAGGGTTCACTCAGCCCTGTACAAAGCAAGAATTTCCTGCTGAGCCTGGCTTGAGGCATCTCCAGCAGCTGCTGCTGGTGTGAATCAGCTGGAGCCTCCCTGCATCTGGGCTGGTCCAGGGCAGGGGCACGGGGCTGGGCGAGCCAGCCAAGCTCAGCAGCTCCTCCCTCCTGCCCTGTTTTTGGGCATGAGGCATCCCCTAAAATCCTTCCCCTCTCTGTGCTGGGCCCAAGGTGGCCTTAGCCCCCGTGGCAGGGGCATCCAAGGGGTGGAAGGGAGCAGAGCCGGGTGCTCAGGCACGGTGCTGTGGGGAAATGCTTTGAAAGGTGGGGTGAAAGCATAACCATGAAAGCAGAACCTCTCGGAGCCAGGAGGGGCCAGAGTCCAAAATTAAAGCTTCTGCTGCCCCCAGGCACATTTAACCAAAAGCCTTGTGTCCCCTATCCCCAGCTGGAGTCCCAGGGAGAGGAGAGGGGGTGTCTCTCCGGCTCATCTGCCACAGGGTGGTTATTATTAGCCCAGCCTTGACCCCGCAGCTATGCTGGGTACCGGCAGCTGAAACTGTGACTCAGTGTCCCCTGCGTCACCCCCTGCCTCACCCCCCTGCCCCTCACCTTGCTGCTGGCACCTTGCCGGCCGGGCAGCACCAGGGGAGGGTCGGGGGGACTGGGGGGTCCCCGGGGCGAGTGTGGCTGGGCAGGCGTGGGGGATGAGGCCGGGATAAGGAGGGAGGGAGGGAGGCTGCAGCTGCGCCTGGTTTTCCCCTCTGCAGCTGGACCACGTAATCTCTGAATGCCCCATTTCCACTTAATCTGAAGGCGCGGTCCCGGCCCCTCGGGAAGGGGGGGAAATCTCCTCCCACGCAGGAGTGGGCAGCCGCTCCCCTTGGCAAACACGGCAGGAACACGAATCCGAGCCCTGTGCGGGGGGAGCGGCGCTCAGGGGCTCCCGGGCCGATGTCCTGCCCCCATCCCAAGGCCTTGGAAGGGCTACGAGAGATGGGGAAATGTCAGCGTGTGGGGTGGCCCCAGAGCTGAAAAGGCTTCCGTGCCCCTGGTGCTGGGTGGGACCATTCACCTGAACGCTGGGATTTGGGTTCATTTGGGTGTGATGTTCCGCAGCGCTCCCTGCCCGCGGGGCAGGGCTGGCTGCACCCGGACCAGTCGGGCACGGGCTCACCCCTGGCTCCGGGGGGCTGGTGGGCACACGGCACCCACGGGGAGTTGGGTCTTGGTGGGGCAAGTGGGGTTCGGGGCGATTTGCCTGGCTGCCCTCGTAGCGGCAGCAAAGACAGAACCCTGCCAACCCATCCTGGAACATTGCCCCAGTGCCTCCTGTGCCTCAGTTTCCCCTTTCACACGACTGTCCTGTGCCCTGATTCCTCGCAGGTGCCTCGGGGGTCCTGCAGGACGGTTCCAGCGGATTGGGGAGCAGCGGGTGGCTCGGGATGCTCGGCTGTCCCCTCTGCCCGCGGGGTCCGGCCGGGCCGGCAGAGCCGGTGCAGGAATGTGGGGCTGGGAGGGTCCAGCCCCAGGACAGGAGGTCCCTGCTGCGGGGACACCGGGGGCGGTTCGTCCCCTCGGCAGCAGGACGGGGTGAGCTGAGCAGGACATCACATCCAGCAGCAGCAGGACGCCGCCATGGAGCTGCTGTGGGCGCTGCTGGCTCTGGCTGGGATGGGCGCAGCCGCGGATTTGGGTGACTCCCTGGGGGACAGGGCAGAGGGGGACAGGGGCCTGGGGGGGCTGCGAGGCGTTTGTGCCGGGGAGGGGTTTATGGGGCTGGGCATGGCTGGGGGGTCCCCACCGGTGCTGTCCCCCTCGTGCTGGCACCATGTGGGTGTGGGGTCAGGGCCTTGCTGAGCGGTGTGGAACAGGGGGTCCCTCGCTCAGTGCCCACACCCCCAGCCCGGCTGCCCTACGTGCCCCACGTGCCCCCCATGGCACTGCTGGGCAAGGTCACCGCCACCACCTTCGCGCTGGAGAGGCCCTGCTGCGTCTTCGACGGCCATGCTGAAGCCTCCGACGCCGTCTGGCTGGTGGTGGCCTTTGCCAACGGTGAGCGCTCGCTGCTCCAGCACGTTCCCCTGTGCCAGGGGACATGGGGGACCAGTCGCTCACCCTCCATCTGTGCCGTGCAGCATCAGCCACTTTCCGAAACCCCCCATCCCGGGCGGACGTGCCCCTGTACCATCAGCTGCCCACTGCCCACTCCTACATGACTCTGGAGACGGCGGCGGCGGCGTTTTCCTGCGGGGCAGCGAGCCCGGCCGTGCTGCGGGTCGGGAGCGACACGGCGTGCGGGGAGCAGGCCAGAGAGGACCCCTGCAATGGGCCCCTGCCCTCCCCGGGACCCTACAGGTAAGGCCAGGAGCCCCAAATCCCGCCTGGGGTGACTGGCTCGTCCCCAGTACCACCCCCGTGCCCGTGGCAGGGTGAAGTTCCTGCTGATGGGCTGCAGCGGCCCCAAAGCGGAGACGCGGTGGTCGGAGCCCATCCTCCTGCGCACAGGTACCTGTGGCACTGCCACCCCCCCTGCGTGTCCCCTGCACTGCCTGCTTGGGGTGCTGGCACGTGGCACAGCATCAGCCCCGTGCCACCACCCCAAAACCTGCGGGAAGAAGTGATCCCTGATCCCACATCCACCCCGTATCCCCCATCCTGCCTCCTTCCAGCCGTCAGCCCGAGCACCATCGAGCCCGTGCCCACTCGCCCTGGCAGTGCCGTGGTGGTCATCACCTCCATCCTGGCCAGCCTGGGGGCCGTGCTGGCCACCGCCGTGCTCGGAGCCCTGGGGTACGGGGGGCTAGGGAGGGGGCGGTGTCCTCAGGGCCTCAGGAGAACACCCCAACGTGGCAACCCCATCAGCAAAGAAATCTTTTTAACAATGAAAAAGTGTTTTTATTCCTAAATTGGGGGGTTGCCATAGTTTGCAAGAGAAAGGGCTCCTTGGGGGTGGCTGGTGCCGAGCCCCACAGACCCCACTTGGTGCCTCTGCTTCTGTCTCCCTGCAGTGCCAAGGTGTGGGGCTCCGTGTGCCACCGGGGCTTGGGGACCGACTCCTTCATCCGCAGATCCTACCGGACCCACCACATCCCCCCGGGCCTGCCCCAGCCCCTGCCCCCCGGCTGCGGGTGTAGCCCCCCAGGGCTGTGCTGCTCTGCCCCCCAACCCCCTGCTCCGGGTCAGAGAATCATGGAACAGTTTGGCTTGGACGGGACCATAAAGGGACCACCTCATTTCAACCCCGCTGCCACAGGCAGGGCCACCTTCCAATAGTGCTGTCAATTAAAATCTGATTTTCCATCTGCAGCTGTCTCCTCCTGGTCTTTGGCCATGCAGGGCAGGGCTGGGCAGGTGGGCGACCTCAAAACCCACGAGGCCCTGGTTTGATGGCGCTCGGGGTCGGTGTGGGGGGCCCTTGGTACCGCTGGTGGGGTCTGTGGGGCGCATCACCGGGGGATCCCCCCTTGTGCCCGGGTGGGGCAGTCACCCACCCGTGCCACAAACCCAGCGGATCTCAGCACGCCTCGCCGGCGGGCGCTCAAAAATAACAAAAGCTCCCGGGGAAACGAGCCCAACCTGTTTGCCACGGGGCTGCGGCCCTGCAGGAATGTGGGCGGATGGTGACCACAGGCGGGTCCCAGGGGACAAGGAGCCCCAGCAGCACTCCCGCCCTGGGCACCGAGGCGCCCGCACCATGCTCCCGCTGCTCCTCCTGCTCCTGCCCGCCGCCCGCGGCACCGGTGAGTCCAGGACACCATCGGGATGGGCTCAGGGTCCCCTCGGCACTGCGGGGTCCCCTCGTGCACAGGCACCAGGACCCCGCTGAGCCTGGAGGTGTAGGGCAGCTGATGCCCCCCAATTCTGGATCCTGTCTGGGTGTCACCTCCAGTCTCTGGTGTCACTGCCACTGGCTGACTGGCACAGTGTGGGGTCCCCACTGGAGTCCACCAGGACTCCCCTGAGCCTGGAGGTGTAGGGCAGCTGATGTCCCCCCATTCTGGGTGCCAACCCAAGTGTCCCTGGTGTCACCCACCCGAGTCCTCTGCTCAGGGGGTCCTGCACGGGTGTTCCCCCCCGCGGCTGGGAGCATGGAGGGGTTTTGCTTCCTCTTTTAATTAAAACACTGTCTGAGCCCAGGCTGGGGGTGGCAGGGGAGCAGAGGCCGCACTGCCGGGGTCCCGGGGTTCAGCTGCCTCCTGTCCCTGTCCCCGCTCCCATCCCCGGCACCGCGGCCGCCGCTCGGAGCCTCAGGGGCTGCAGCGGGGGATCCACACCCTCCACCGCACCCCCTTGGCTTCTCACAGTAGTCACGGTGGGGCCCGAGCCAGCCCTGACCAAGGATCCCCAGCTGGAGGGGGTGACCACAGCCTCCACCTTCGTGCTGGACCAGCCCCGCTGCGTCTTCCAAAACTACAGCGACGCCGTCATCTGGCTGGTGGTGACCAATGACAAGGGTATGTGGGAGCAGCCCAGGGCAGGGGGCGTGCAGGGGTCCCTGTACCCCCCACCAAGTCCCTCCTCACCCCCATTCCCATCCCCATCCCCATCCCCATCCCTGCAGATGCCTTCTACAACAATGCCACACCAGGGACTCCCGAGACCGCATTCCAGAACTTCCCTGACAAGGTCTCTGCCTACATGACCCTCAATGTCACCCTGCCCAGCTACCCCTGCCCCAGACCCGCCGGGGACATCACGGTGCTGCGTGTGGGCAGCGAGACCAGCTGTGCAAAGGATATGTCAAGACCCACGTGCAATGGCCCCCTGCCCGGCCCCGGGCCGTACTGGTGAGCCTGTCCGGGACCTGCCCCCCTCAAGGGCTGCCAGCAGCCCCCCGGCTTGTGGGGCCGTGGCCAACCTCCCTTCCCATCTTAGGGTGAAGTTCCTTGCCCTGAATGACTCTGGGCCCGTGGCTGAGACAAGCTGGTCGATGCCAATCATGCTGAGGACAGGTACCAGTGCCCATCCTGCCCCCACACCCAGCCCACAGCCGGCCGGGGGGATGTGGGGTGGCCTTGGGTGTGTGGGGCGGTCCCAGGGGGCTGAATGCTGAGCAACAGTGATTTGGGGTGAGGGCTCCTGCGAGCAGCTGGGGACACTGAGGTAGGGCTCTGCCGCGGGTCTCACTCGTGTACGGTGGCACCGTGTGATGACACATTGGGATGGCACATTGGGATGGCACATTGGGATGGCACACGCGAACACACCATCACCCATCCAGAGCCCTGAGCCACGCCGGGGTGTGTATCCCTGCGTCCTGCTCCCTCTCCTCCTCTCTCCCCAGCCCAGCCAGCCAGCAACATCTCCACGGGCAGCGGGTACAGGGACGGCATGATCGCCATCACCACCATCCTCTCCATCCTCTTCGCCATCCTCCTGGCGGCCCTGCTGGCCATGCTCGTCTTCTGCGGGTGAGTGCCACCAGCTGGGCCTGCTGGGCACCCGGGCCCGGTGACAGAGGGTGACACTGGCACCCCCTGGTCCCCACCCTCATCCCTCACCCCGTCTTCCCTGCCCAGCTCGGAGTCCTGCGGCAGCAGCACCTTCAGCAAGGCGGAGTCGGTGTCGGTGCGGCGCTACAACACCCACCACGTCTATGACCAGCCCTGCGCCCGGCTCTGAGCCCCCGGCGGGGTAAATGTGCCCTCACCGCTCTGTCCCCGCGGGTGACACCCCATTAAAGGCTTTTCTGCATGCTTTGTGCCCCCTGGAAAGCCCCAAGGTCCCCTGTCCCCCTGGAGCCCCAGCGCTGGCTGGGACAGAGCTGTGACCAGGGGTGCTCTGCTGTGGGAGACCCTGCCACACCCAGCTGGGCATCGGTGCCACCTGTGCCCACTCCGGATGGGGAAAAGTCCCCTGGGTGCAGGTGTGGGGGGTGTGGGAGGTGTTTCTCCAACACCTTTTATCCTACAATGAGCTCTTCCTGACCAAGCCCAGAGGAGGGGCTCCCACACCCCGAAATGACCCAATCCGTCCCGGGTACAGCTCGGGTTACTCTGAGAGCCAGGAGACCTCAAGAGGGGACCCCGGGGGGGCTGATCCTGCACTGGGGGTGTCCCCAATCCCGATCTGGGGGATGTGGGGGCTAATCCTGCGCTGGGGGGGTGTCCCCGATCCTGATCTGGGGGATGTGGGGGCTGATCCTGCACTGGGGGGTGTCCCCGATCCCGATCTGGGGGATGTAGGGGCTGATCCTGTGCTGGGGGATGTCCCCAATCCCGATCTGGGGGATGTGGGGGCTGATCCTGCACTGGGGGGTGTCCCCAATCCCGATCTGGGGGATGTGGGGGCTGATCCTGATCTGGGGGGTGTCCCCGATCCCGATCTGGGGGTGTCGCCGATCCCGATCTGGGGGATGTGGGGGCTGATCCTGCACTGGGGGGTGTCCCCGATCCCGATGTGGGGGATGTGGGGGATGATCCTGCGCTGGGGGGGTGTCCCCGATCCCGATCTGGGGGGTGTCCCCGATCTCGATCTGGGGGATGTGGGGGCTGATCCTGCACTGGGGGGTGTCCCCAATCCCGATCTGGGGGATGTGGGGGCTGATCCTGCGCTGGGGGGTGTCCCCGATCCCGATTTGGGGGATGTGGGGGCTGATCCTGCACTGGGGGTGTCCCCAATCCCGATCTGGGGGATGTGGGGGCTGATCCTGCATTGGGGGGTGTCCCCAGTCCCGATCTGGGGGATGTGGGGGCTGATCCTGCACTGGTGAGGAGGGCTGGGGCAGGGAGGGGACTGGAAGGGACTGGATCCATCATCCCTGATCCCACAGCGGGACGTGGGTCTCCGATGCTGATCTCAGGGCTGGGGGTACCCCGATCCTGCAGCCCGGGCAGGATGAGCCCCCGCTGGTGCTGGAGACAATCCCGCAGCGGGTGGAGGCGGGGCAGGTGTGTGTGTACCTATAGACATCCTACACAAATATTAACAGCCGCGTTTCTCCCCGCAGGTGCCACCTCGGCCCGGTCACAGCGCCCTTACGGGGTGTCCTTGTGTCACCTGGGGGGTGTTAGCAACCTGCCCGGCCAAGGGAAATCAAACAAATCCAGCCATGAATCCTGCCGGGATCCGCGTGGAGGGATGGATCCACCCAGCAAACGCGGCTCCCCTCCGCCCTACACCCCCAAATAAAGCACCTGCTTCTCCTGCAAGGGGCTCTGCAAAGGGCACTGTCACCTGCCACGCGTGCCTTGCTGGGGCTGGCACACGTGGGGCTCGTGGGAGGTGGCAGGGACTGCACCTTGTCCCCTGGTGTCCCCTGTGCGGGGGAGGCAGAGGGGCAGCGCTGGAGGAACAGACAGCGTGTTCCCAGAGTGTTCCCAGCGTGTCCCCGCGGTGTCCCCAGAGTGTCCCCGCCGGGAAAATGCCAAGGACCATCTTGGCTGGCACAGCTTTGGGTGTGCCCGAGTCCCCGAGCGCAGGTGGGTCTCGCCATGGGGGGGTTCCCCCCGAGCACCCACAAATGCCACCTGTCCTCGGGTGCAGTACTTTAAAAACAAAAAAAAAAAGGGTTAAAAAATCAATCAAACGGCGGAGGTTTGGGGTGCAGAGCAGCGCGGCCGATGCTGCAGCCCCCCAAGTTCGGGGGGCGCGGAGGGTCCGGGGTGGGATTGGTCCGATCCCGGCGGGCACCGGGCTGGGCACGAACCGGCCTGGGCACGAACCGGCCTGGGCTGGGGGGACAGACAGGGGACAGAGGGGACAGACAGGGGACAGAGGGGACAGAGAGGGGTCCGAGGGGACAGAGAGGGGACAGAGGGGACAGAGAGGGGATAGAGAGGACAGAAAGGGGAACGAGGGGACAGAGAGGGGACAGAAAGGGGAACAAGGGGACAGAAAGGGGAACGAGGGGACAGAGAGGGGGCGGAGGGGACAGAGAAGGGTCCAAGGGGACAGGAAGGGGAGCGAGGGGACAGAGAGGGGATAGAGGGGACAGAGAGGGGATAGAGAGGGACAGAGAGGGGATAGAGAGGGACCGAGGGGACAGAGAGGGGAACGAGGGGACAGAAAGGGGAACGAGGGGACAGAGAGGGGATAGAGAGGGACCGAGGGGACAGAAAGGGGAACGAGGGGACAGAGAGGGGACAGAGGGGACAGAGAGGGGTCCGAGGGGACAGAGGGGACAGAAAGGGGAACGAGGGGAGAGAGAGGGGATAGAGGGGACAGAAAAGGGAACGAGGGGACAGAGAGGGGATAGAGAGGGACAGAAAGGGGATAGAGAGGGACAGAGAGGGGACAGAGGGAACAGACAGGGGACAGAGGGGACAGAGAGGGGTCTGAGGGGACAGAAAGGGGAACGAGGGGACAGAGAGGGGAACGAGGGGACAGAGGGGATAGAGATGGATCGAGGGGACAGAGAGGGGACAGAAGGGACAGAAAGGGGAACGAGGGGACAGAGAGGGGATAGAGAGGGACAGAGAGGGGTCCGAGGGGACAGAAAGGGGAACGAGGCGACAGAGAGGGGACAGAAAGGGGAACGAGGGGACAGAAAGGGGAACGAGGGGACAGAGAGGACAGACAGGGGACAGAGGGGACAGAGAGGGGTCCGAGGGGACAGAGAGGGGTCCGAGGGGACAGAAAGGGGAACAAGGGGACAGAAAGGGGAACGAGGGGACAGAGATGGGATAGAGAGGGACCGAGGGGACAGAGAGGGGACAGAGAGGGAACAGAAGGGACAGAGAGGGGACAGAAAGGGGTCCGAGGGGACAGAAAGGGGAACGAGGCGACAGAGAGGGGACAGAGGGGACAGAGAGGGGACAGAAATGGGAACGAGGGGACGGAGGGGACAGAGGGGACAGAGGGACCGAGGGGACACAGGGGGGGACCCCGCGGGACCCCGGCAGCGCGGGGAGCCCGGCCCCGCCCACCCGCACAGGCCACGCCCCCTGGCCGACAGCCGATGGGCTCACCCAATGGGCGCCGCGGATGTGCCTTAGGCCACGCCTATTTCCCCGCCCCCGCGCGCTGATTGGCGGGCGCGGCGCCGGCCCGCACATGGGCGCTGTGCGGGGGCCGCGGGTTCGAGGCCGCGCTCGGCGCCTTTGGCTCCGCCGGGCTCGGCTCCTGCGGCTCCGCCGGGCTCGGTGCTCCGCTGCCCGCCCGCCATGGCCCGGCGCAGCGCCCTCTCCATCCGCATCGTGGAGGGCAGGAACCTGCCCGCCAAGGACATGTGAGTGCCCCCGCGGCGGCCGCGACGCGTTCGGGGCGGGGGCATCCCGAGGGACTCACCGCTTTCCCAGGGGTGCTGCGGGGTGTCCCCCCAACAGGTCCCCGATGGGGACACCACCCTCGGGGTGGCCTTAGAGCCTCCTCCCTGCTCTGGGGGCTTGCTCAGAATGGTTTGGGCGACCCCCAGCTATGCATGTGGTGTAGGGGCTTTAGGATCGGGTGGCTTTAGGATCCCCTTTTGGGGTGTCGTCCCTTGGGGTGTTCCCTCCAGGGTGGCTTTGGAGTCGCCCTGCACTAAGGATTCCCCCCAGGGTGGCTTTAGGGTCCCCCACCCCAGCAGTGTGTTTACTTTGGGGGTTCCCTTCAGGGTAGATTTGGGGTACCCCTCCAGCAGTGCATCTATTTGGAGGTTCCCCATAGGGCGGCTTTGGAATCCCCCTTGCTTTGGGGTTTCCTCCAGGATGGCTTTGCTGTTGCTTTGCTTTGGGGGTTCCCCCAGAACGGCTTTGGGATCCCCCTTGCTCTGGGGGTTCCCTTCAGGACATTTTTATGTGCTCCCAGCAGTTCTTAGCGCTTTGGGGGCTCCTTCAGCAGTGCTGTGATTTGGGGGCACCCCCCGGGATGGGGTTGAGGTCTCCCCCATTGCTGTGGGATGCCCCCAGCAGTGTTTTGGATACCCTAAGCAGCTCTCCTACTTTGGGGGGGTCCCTCTGTGCTGCCACGGGGCAGGGCTGTCCCCACCACAGCGGGACCCTCGCCGGGACCCCCGGAGGCGCAGCAGGAGCGGTACATCCGTCCCCAAAGGAGCAGGGGCTGCCCAGGGCTCCATCCCACCCGGCTGAGGTGCGGGGAGCAGCCCTTGGCTCGGGATTTCCCTCCCAAAAAAACCCCGGGCTTCTCCTCATGGCTCTGATCCTTATGGGGCGGGATATGGGGACAGCGCCGGGGTGGCCCCATCCGCCACCAAAGCAGCGGGAAGCTGCTGAGGAGCAAAAAACCACCAAAAATCCCTGCAGCCGTCATGGAAAAAGAGGATAAACAAGGAAAGAAACATGACTTTTTTTTTTTTCTTTTTTTTTTTTCTTTTTTTAAATCCCGTGTGTCAGGGCCTGATTTTTAAATCCCTTGGCACAGCTCCCCGCCGGAGCTTGACCCTGTGCGGGCCGGTGGCTTTGGGACGTGGCGCTGGGCTGGGGTGGGGAGGGAAACCCGAGCGCGACCTTGGCCCGGGCTGGCCCCGGCCCCTTCCCCGCCGAGCAGCGCCCTGGGGGGATCCGGTTCCTGCCCTGGCACCGCTCTGGGCTCGCTGCTTCCCTCCGGGAATTCCCTCTGCGGGGCTGATGGAGCACCCCCAAATCCCCGGCGGGAACCCCCCAGCGTTTGGCTTCTCTTATTTGAATTTCTCTTTTATTATTTATTTATTTATTGGCTTAATTCAATGTTAGGATAATAAATGACGCCAATAATTTTTAATCTTTAGTTTATCCTAATCTATTCTATTTTTATTTCAGTATTTTCACTCTTTAACTTTCTATTTCATTATTTATTTTTAATTTATTTTTTCTTTCATTTTTGCCTTTTTTCGGTTTTTTCACTTATTTATTTTTTCATTTTGTCACTTATGATTCCTCCTTTTATTTTATCCTTTTCTTTTATCCTTTTCTTTTATCCTTTTATTTTATCCTTTTATTTTATCCATTTATTTTATCCATTTATTTTATCCTTTTATTTTATCTTTTTATTTTATACATTTATTTTATCCTTTTATTTTATCCATTTATTTTATACTTTTATTTTATACTTTTATTTTATCCTTTTATTTTTCTTTTCTTTTTAATTCGATCTTTAATTTTTTTATTCAATCTTCCTTTCATTTCTCACTTTTAGTTATACTTTTATTTCTACTTTAATTTTCTTTGCTTTTTAAAAAATTCTATTTTTCTTTTATTCTTTATTTCCCTTCCATTTATCATTCTAATTTTTTTTTCTTTCCTTTTTAATCCCATATTTTATTTCCATTTTTATTCATTTCCTCTCACCACCTCCCAGGGCTGAACAACACCAGTTAATTTTTAATTCCATCCCTCCGCGGCTCCTTCCCCCTTCCCCCATTCCCGCCTGGGCTCATTTCCTCTTTATAAAGCCCTTCGCCGGGAAGGAGGGTGGCAGCGCCGGGGAGCAGGGATGGTGTTGTGGCAGCCTGAGAAATCCCTGCTGCCGTGCTCAGCGGGGCAGGGAGCCCCCCCAAACCCCCTCAGTCCCCTCCAGCCTCTTTGGAATCCCCCAAACCCCTTCAGTCCCCTCCAGCCTCTTTGGAATCCCCCAAACCCCTTCAGTCCCCTCCAAACTCTTTTGAATCCCCCAAACCCCTTCAGTCCCCTCCAGCCTCTTTGGAATCCCCCAAACCCTTTCAGTCCCCTCCAGCCTCTTTCAAATCCCCCCAAACCCCTTTCAATCCCCTCCAACCTCTTTTGAACCCCTCAAACCCCTTTCAATCCCCCCCAACACCCCTTTCAATCCCCCTCAAGACCCTTTCAGTCCCCTCCAAAATCTTTTGAATTTCCCCAAAACCCCCTCAGTCCCCTCCAGCCTCTTTGAAATCCCCCAAAGCCCCTTCAGTCCCCTCCAAACTCTTTTGAATCCCCCAAACCCCTTCAGTCCCCTCCAGCCTCTTTGGAATCCCCCAAACCCCCTCAGTCCCCTCCAGCCTCTTTGGAATCCCCCACAACCCCTTTCAGTCCCCTCCAACCTCTTCTGATTTCCCCAAAACCCCTTCAGTCCCCTCCAAACTCTTTGGAATCCTCCAAAGCCCCTTTCAGTCCCCTCCAGCCTCTTTGGAATCCCCCAAACCCCTTCAGTCCCCTCCAAAATCTTTTGAATCCCCCAAACCCCTTCAGTCCCCTCCAGCCTCTTTGGAATCCCCCAAACCCCCTCAGTCCCCTCCAGCCTCTTCTGATTCCCCCAAAACCCTTTCAGTCCCCTCCAAACTCTTTTGAATCCCCCAAAACCCCTTCAATCCCCTCCAAACTTTTTTGAATCCCCCCAACCCCCTTCAGTCCCCTCCAAACTCTTTGGAATCCCCCCAAATCCCCTCAGTCCCCTCCAGCCTCTTTGGAATCCCCCCAAACCCCTTTCAGTCCCCTCCAAACTCTTTGGAATCCCCCCAAACCCCCTCAGTCCCCTCCAGCCTCTTTGGAATCCCCCCAAACCCCTTCAGTCCCCTCCAGCCTCTTTGGAATCCCCCAAACCCTTTCAGTCCCCTCCAGCCTCTTTGGAATCCCCCCAAACCCCCTTCAGTCCCCTCCAGCCTCTTCTGATTTCCCCAAAACCCCCTCAGTCCCCTCCAGCCTCTTTGGAATCCCCCAAACCCCCTCAGTCCCCTCCAGCCTCTTTGGAATCCCCCCAAACCCCTTCAGACCCCTCCAAACTCTTTTGAACCCCTCAAACCCCTTTCAATCCCCCCAACACCCCTTTCAATCCCCCTCAAGACCCTTTCAGTTCCCTCCAACTCCTTTTGATTCCCCCAAACCACCTTCTGATTCTCCCTAAGAACCCTTTCAATCCTCCTCAAAACCATTTTAGCCCCCTCCAACCCGTTTTGAATCCCCCAAAACCCTTTCAGTCCCCTCCAACTCCTTCAGTCCCTCCAAAACCTGTCTGGATTCCCCCAAATTCTTTCATTTGTCCCCAAAACCTTTTCAGTCTGCCCAGCAGCTGCCTCTCAGCATCCCTGGATTTGGGATGTGGGAATCACTCAATGCCTGGGGTCCCCCGAGCTGTGCACCCTCCCTTTCCCAGGACACTCGTGGCTGCCTGACAGTGCCACTGGGGTTGGTGTTAGTGAGTTCTCCATGCTCCAGGCTGCCCCATGCCAGTGGGGTGGCAGCCACAACCTTTCCATGACCTTGGCCACCCCCAGGTCCTGGTTCCCCTGTCCCTGCTCACCCCTGACCCTGTTTTGATGAAGCAATAAGCTGTAAAACCGTGATTGTGTTTTGGCAAGGGTGACTCGGGTTGTCCCCAGGGAGGAAGCATGGCCAAAGCACGGTGGTGGCTGCCCTTCACACCCTCTGCATCCCTGGGGGTGTCCCTAGGGCTGTCCCCATGCCTGTGGGAGTGTTGGGGGTCTGGGGACACCCTGGAGGCTGCTGTGGCCTCACTCCCGGGGTGTGAAATTGGGCTGCAGGTGCCTGGAGCCGTTTCGGGGAAAGGGTGGGGTTTGTTTGCTCCTTGCCTTCCTGTGTGGAAAAGGAAAAGCCACTTCTGGCAGCCACAGCGGCCGGACACGGTCAGGGAGGGGTGTCCCCGGTCTGGAAGCCAAGCTGGGGTCACCCTGTGCTGGCAGCTGCGGCCAAGATCCCCCGTGGAAGTCTTTGGCAGCCTCTGCTCCCTCAGGGCATTGTCTCTGCTCTGTGGGGGCTGTCTGGGCTGAAGGCTTTGCTCGCCCATGGCCGTGAGGCTCCTGCAGGTTGGGTGGTGGCCAGGCTGTGGCTGGTGGCACTGACAGAGCTGTCCCTTGTCCTTCTAGCACGGGGAGCAGTGACCCGTACTGCATCGTGAAGATCGATGATGAAGCCATCATCAGGTGGGTGCCCCGAGTCCCTGGCTGGTCCCTAAAACTGCTGGAGGCCCAAACCTTGCTCCGGGCAGGTGTCTCCATCTGCTGCAGGCACATTGTTGTTATGATTATTGTTAAGATTTGCTATTTATCATTCATACTTTGGGCTGAGATGCTCCTGCAGACACAGAAGTGTCTAACAGCTCATGGCCCCGTGTCTTGCCAGCCCAGAGCCACAAGACAGGACAAGGACAGGGACAGAGACTCATCCCTGCCCCAGCTGAGGCTTTCAGACTCTGGGCGCTTCCCCCAGCCATGTGTCCCCAAAAGCTGGGAAGGTCCCAGGGCTGGGGAGTACCCCTGAGAGGGAGCCCTGTCCCCCCTGTCACCAGTGCCACCTGCCTCACAGGACTGCCACGGTGTGGAAGACGCTGTCCCCGTTCTGGGGGGAGGAATACGAGGTGCAGCTCCAGCCTGGTTTCCACAGCATCTCCATCTACGTCATGGACGAGGATGCCCTCAGGTGTGCTGGGTTTTGGTGGCTTTCCTGTTTGGTGGCTTTTCTGTTGGTGGCTTTGGCTCCCTGCATGCTCAGCCTGGTGCTGACACCAGAGAATCCCCAGCTGGCCACGCTGCCCTGGGCTTTGGGACACAGATGGGTGAAGATATCTCCCGAGGATATTGTCCAGCTGGCAGCAGAGGGTGGCTGATGTGCTCTGTGGGGACAGACACACCATGGTGGGCCCTCTCCAGGACCCCCCAAAGTGGGGCTGTCCTACCTGGGCACCCATCCCATGCCGTGTCCTGTGCCCATTTTTGTTTTCCAGCCGTGACGACATCATTGGGAAGGTCTGCATCACCCGGGACATGCTGGCAGAGCACCCCAAGGGTAGGGAGAGCGTGGCTGGGGGTCCCAGGAGGGACCCATCTCCCACCCCTTGGACAAGCTGGTGCTGAGGGGTTCCCCCATGACCCCTTTATGGGGTCCCCCCTTTTCCCACAGGATACAGCGGCTGGATGAGCCTCAGCGAGGTGGATCCTGATGAGGAGGTGCAGGGGGAGATCCACCTGCGGGTGGAGGTCCTGGGCAGCCAGGGCAGCCGGCGGCTGCGCTGCTCCGTGCTGGAGGCCAGGTGAGAGGGGGCACGAGGGTGACAGGGCCTGTGTGTGCAGCTGGGACATGGGTGCTGAGCCTGAGCTGCTCCATGACTCAGTTTCCCTGGTGTGTCCGGTCCTTTATTACCCAGATGGGGTTGCTGGGTCAGGGCCTACCTCATCTGCAGGTCTTTGGGACATATATCTTGAGATTCTCTGAGAGCAGAGTGGGTGCCATGGGTGCCTGTAGGTATTTTGGGAGGTTGCTGGTAAATTCCCCCTCTCCTCGGCAGGGATTTGGCCAGGAAGGACCGGAATGGTGCCTCCGACCCCTTTGTCCGCCTGCGCTACAACGGGAAGACGCAGGAGAGCACCGTGAGTGCAGCTTCAGCCATGCCCAGCCTGCCAGGGCTGCAGGTGGAACCAATCCACGGGGAACCCAGAGCCATCCCCGTCCCCCAGCATCCCCAGCTTGGTGTCCCTGAGGGATATACCCAGGCAGGAAGAGGGAACAAAGCTGTTGCCTTTGCAGGTGGTCAAGAAATCCTGTTACCCTCGCTGGAACGAGACCTTTGAGTTTGAGCTGGCCGAGCCCGCTGAGGAGAAGCTCTGCGTGGAGGTGTGGGACTGGGACCTTGTGGGCAGGAACGACTTCCTGGGCAAGGTGAGTCCCAAACCCTTTCAGTGCTGCCAGGGTCCAGCCTGGCTGCACTCCCAGGCCTCTCCTGCCTTCCCCTCCCAGGTGGTGTTCAGTGTCCAGGGGCTGGAAGCAGCTGGGCAGGAGGAGGGGTGGTTCAGGCTGTGCCCAGACAAGTCTAAGCCGACAGAGGACGAGTGAGTTTTGGTACAGGGTGTTGGGGTGTGTTGGGGGTGGTCCCAGTGCCCTCAGGAGGGACGGGAGTTTTTCTGGGAAGCATCATCACTTTGGAGGGGTAGCCTGGGGTGTTGGGCCACCTCCTGCTTGGTGAAGTATCTATCCATCATCCATCCACCCATCCACCCATCATCCACCCATCATCCATCCATCATCCACCCATCATCCCTCCATCCATCCGTCCATCCATCCATCATCCATCCATCCATCCATCCACCCATCCATCCATCCATCATCCATCCACCCATCCATCCACCCATCCATCCATCCATTCATCATCCATCATCCATCCATCCACCCATCCATCCACCCATCCATCCATCCATCCACCCATCCATCCACCCATCCATCCATCCATCATCCATCCATCCATCCATCCACCCATCCATCCATCCATCATCCATCCACCCATCCATCCACCCATCCATCCATCCATCATCCATCCACCCATCCATCCACCCATCCATCCATCCATCATCCATCCATCATCCATCCACCCATCCATCCCTCCACCCACCCACCCACCCGCCCTCCCCGTGTTCCTGCAGGCGCCGGGGCAGTCTGGGCTCGCTGCAGCTGCAGGTGAAGCTCCGGGACGAGACGGTGCTTCCCTCCCACTGCTACCAGCCCCTGGTGCAGCTCCTGTGCCAGGAGGTGAAGTTGGGGCGCCAGGTGAGGGCTCCATGCCCAGCCCTGCTGGAGCACCCCCATTTCCCAGCTCTGTGGTGTCTGCCTGCCTCGGGCTGTCACCTTATGGCGCCTCTTCCCCCCAGGATGGCCAAGTGCACCTGGTCACCCTCCTGGACGAAACCACCACGGCCGAGTGCCGGCAGGAGGTCGCCATCAACTTGGTCAAACTCTTCTTGGGCCAGGGGCTGGTCAAGGAGTTCCTGGACCTGCTCTTTGAGCTGGAGCTGGCCAAGCCCTGTAAGGCTGGAATGGGGAATGGACCTGGAGGCTTCCTTATCATCTCCTGGGGCTGCAAAACCTCCGTGACCTTTTGTGGGGATTTTTTTGGGAGTGATGGTTGAGGCTCAGCCATCGCACTGTGCGATCTGTTGGGCTCATCCCAGCAGTTCATGGGCTGAGGTTGGTGGAGGAGCAGGTGGTCTGAGGTTAGGAAATCCCCATGGCCCCCATGGAAATGGCCAGGGGGACAGGGCACAGACCCTGGGAATGACCCCCATGTCTGCAGCTGCTCAGGGATGACCTGAGGCCATTCCCCAGGCCATGGACCCTGTCCTGTTTTGCAGGTGAGCCCAACACTCTGTTCCGGAGCAACTCTCTGGCCTCAAAGTCGATGGAGTCCTTCCTCAAGGTGCCACACCACCCAAAACCTGCTCTTCCCAGCTCTTCCTGGCCCTGGGCTGTTCCCAGGGGAAGAACTGGGAGGGATGCTGTGCTTGTGCCTTCCCCCGGGGCTGGGAGGCTGGAGAAGATCCACTGGTGACCCTGGGGGTGTCGGGTGCCAAATCTGTGGCCCACCCCTGTCCCCTGTGTGGTCCCTCGGCAGGTGACAGGGATGCCATACCTGCACTTTGTCCTGGGTCCCACCATCACCCGTGTGTTTGAGGAGAAGAAATACGTGGAGCTGGATCCCGGAAAGGTGGAGATCAAAGACGTCGGGTAAGGGGCTCGTGGGGTGGCAGGGCAGGGGTGGCCCCAGCGCTGGGGGTGACAGTGGCGGTGCCTGCAGGTGCTCGGGGCTGCACCGGGTGCAGACGGAGGGCGAGGTGATCGAGCAGGGCCGGCAGCACCTCCAGTCCTACCTGGGCGAGCTCCTGGATGCCATCGTCAGGTCGGCCCCGGCGTGTCCGCCCCTGATCCGCGCCGCGTTCCGCCAGCTCTTCCAGCGCGTCGGGGAGCGCTTCCCGCAGCACCAGGTCGGGCTGTGCGGGGGATGCTGTGGGGACATCCCCAGGGGACAGCGGGTCCCCAGTGTGCTCAGTGGGGTCCCCTCTTGGGCAAGCAGCAGCCCCGGCCACCCGGTGCATCGCTGTTTGTGGGGTTGTCCCACGCGGGGAGAGACCCTCACGTGTGTTCCCCACGCCTCGGCGGTCCCAGCACGCCAAATTTGTGGCTGTCACCAGCTTCCTGTGCCTGCGCTTCTTCTCGCCGGCCGTGATGACCCCCAAGCTGTTCCAGCTGCGGGCCGCACACGCGGACGCGCGGACCGGCCGCACGCTGCTGCTGCTGGCCAAGGTGCGACAGGGGACACCGGGGCGGCCCTTTGGGGTGCCAGCCGTGTCTCCTGGGGGTGACGCTGCCACCGCCGCGGTCCCCAGGCCATCCAGCTGGTCGGGAACATGGAGCCGGCGGCCGGGCGCGCCAAGGAGACGTGGCTGTCGCCGCTGCTGCCCGCCCTGCAGGAGGGCACAGCCCGCATGAGGGACTTCATCACCCGCCTGGTGGGCACGGAGGAGGAGAAGGGTGAGGAGGAGGGTGAGGGGCGGCCGCTGGGGCCCCCGCCGGCCGTGGTGAAGGAGGGGATGCTCCTTGTGCACAAGACACGGGGCAAGGGCCCGCTGCTCGCCGCTGCCGCCGGCAAAAAACTCAATTTCTGCCTCACCGGGGAGTCCCTGAGCTTCGGCAAGAGCCCCGGTGCGGAGGTACGGCCGTGCTGGGCGGGCGGGGGGGCGGCAGCGGGGTGGCGCTGACCCCCTCTGTGTGTGTCCCCTCCATCAGCGTATCGGTGCCATCGCCCTGGGCGACATCCTGGCGGCCGAGAAGGTGGAGGAGAAGAGCTTCGGCAGCTCCCACGTCATGCAGGTGGTCTACATGGGCACGGGCGGGCAGCAGGAGACGGCTTACCTGCAGTGCAAGGTGCGGTGGCACAGCGCGGGCGGTGGCACCGGGCGGGCGGTGGCACAGCGCGGGGTCCCTCTGACTGTCCCCAACCCCGCAGTGTGTCAACGAGCTGAACCAGTGGCTGTCAGCCCTGCGCAAAGTGTGCGGCAACAACCCCCGCGTGCTCCGCTCCTACCACCCCGGCGTCTTCCGCGGCGACAAGTGGAGCTGCTGCCACCAGCGCGACAGGACAGGTACGGGGAGGTGGCCCCGGAGCCCCGCGGGGGTGCCGGGGTGTTCCCCCGGTACGGTGACCGCGCTGCCCCGCAGGGTTGGGATGCGACCGGACCCGGCACGGCGTCACCCTGCAGGACTGGAGTGACCCGCTGGACCCCTCGGTGGAGGCTCAGCGGCTCTTCCAGCACCTGCAGGGCCTGCGGGGGACGCTCAGGTGAGTCCTGCCCGCGGGACCCCCGCACCGCCCCGCAGCCGCGCTGCTCCGCCACGGCCGCTCTCTGCCCTCTCCGCAGGGACAAGTACTGGGAGCTGCTGGAGCTGCTGGAGCCGGGGGCGGCCCGGAACGGTGAAGGTGGGTTGGGGTGCGGGGTTTGGGGATGTTCTGCTTGGGAGGTGACCCCGGGGAGCTGTGGGTGTCACTGTCCCGCCCTGTCCCGCAGACGCTGCCCTGCCCGAGGGGCTGAGCCGGCTGCTGGCGGTGCTGGGGGAGCTGGAGCGCTGCCACCGCCGGGAGCGGCCCCCGCCGCCGGCCCCGGCCCTGCTGCGGCTGCAGACGTGAGGGAGAAATAAAGGCACTTGTACCCTGCGGCCGTGTGCTGTGTCTGCTGGGGACGGCACTGCCAGAGCCCTGCTGGTGCCACTGCTCAGTTACACGGGGGACACCGCTGAGGGTCCTGCTGGGGCCATTGCGGGTGCCATCACTGGTGGCACCACTGGTGGCATCACTGGTGGCCTGATAAAAGCACCGCTGGGGGTTCTCTTGGTGGCGCTACTCATGGTGACACTGGTGACACCTCTGAGAGTCCTGCTGGGGCCGTTTCGGGTGCCATCACTGGTGGCCTGCTTGGGGGTTCTCTTGGTGGTGCTACTGATGGTGCCACTGCTGACAGTTACACGGGGGACACCTCTGAGGGCCCTGCTGGTGCCATTTTGGGTGCCATCACTGGTGGCACCGCTGGTGGCCTGATAAAAGCACCGCTGGGGGTTCTCTTGGTGGTGCTACTGATGGTGCCACTGCTCACAGTTACACTGGGGACACCTCTGAGGGCCCTGCTGGGGCCATTTCGGGTGCCATCACTGGTGGCCTGATAAAAGCACTGCTGGGGGCTCTCTTGGTGGCACTACTCATGGTGACACTGGTGACACTGCTGAGGGTCCTGCTGGTGCCATTTCGGGTGCCATCACTGGTGCCATCACTGGTGGCCTGCTTGGGGGTTCTCTTGGTGGCACTACTGATGGTGCCACTGCTGACACTTACACTGGGGACACCTCTGAGGGCCCTGCTGGGGCCATTTCGGGTGCCATCACTGGTGGCCTGATAAAAGCACTGCTGGGGGTTCTCCTGGTGGCGCTACTGATGGTGCCACTGCTGACAGTTACACGGGGGACACCTCTGAGGGCCCTGCTGGGGCCATTTTGGGTGCCATCACTGGTGCCATCACTGGTGGCATCACTGGTGGCACCACTGGTGGCCTGATAAAAGCACTGCTGGGGGATCTCTTGGTGGCGCTACTCATGGTGACACTGCTGACAGTTACACTGGTGACACCTCTGAGGGTCCTGCTGGGGCCATTTCGGGTGCCATCACTGGTGGCATCACTGGTGGTCTGCTTGGGGGTTCTCTTGGTGGCACTGCTGATGGTGCCACTGCTGATAGTTACACTGGGGACACCTCTGAGGGGCCTGCTGGTGCCATCACTGGTGGCACCACTGGTGGCACCACTGGTGGCCTGATAAAAGCACCGCTGGGGGTTCTCTTGGTGGCGCTACTGATGGGGCCACTGCTGACAGTTACACTGAGGACACCTCTGAGGGTCCTGCTGGTGCCATTTCGGGTGCCATCACTGGTGGCACCACTGGTGGCCTGATAAAAGCACTGCTGGGGGTTCTCTTGGTGGTGCTACTGATGGTGCCACTGCTCACAGTTACACTGGTGACACCTCTGAGGGTCCTGCTGGTGCCATTTTGGGTGCCATCACTGGTGGCCTGCTTGGGGGTTCTCTTGGTGGCGCTGCCGATGCTGCCATTGCTTGATGTCCCTGCTGGTGCCATTTCTGAGGGCCCTGCTGCTGCTGGTTCTGTTGCTGGCAGCACTGCTGCCATCACTGGTGGTTCTGCTGGTGGCGGGCTGTGGCAGTGGTGGCAGCCCTGGAGTCTCTCTCATGGCCCTGGGGCTGGTGCCAGCTGGTCAGGGCCGTGGTGCTGCAGTGGGGACACCGCTGGTGGTGTCAGCGGTGTGTGTTCCCCTCTCGGTGGCTCTGAGGCGGACGCCACCATCCCCGCCCCGCCGCCATTGCTGCAGCGGGTCCTCCCGCCCGCCAGGGGGCGCTGCGGGGCGCCCCGAGCGGGCGGAAGTGACGTAGCGGAAGAGAAGCGGCGGCCGCCATAGCAACGGAGCGATGAACGCGCCGCCGGCCTTCGAGTCCTTCCTGCTCTTCGAGGGCGAGAAAAAGTGAGGGGATAGCGGGGGCGAGTAATTAAACCCTGATCAGACCGCGGGGAGCTGGGAGGCGGGGGAACCCGGGCTTTCCCCCCACGGATCGCTAACAGCCCTGCATCCCATAATACCTCAGGATCACCATCAACAAGGACACCAAGGTGCCCAACGCCTGCCTGTTCACCATCAACAAGGAGGACCACACGCTCGGGAACATCATCAAGTCGTAAGTTGGAGCGGGGAGGGGACTGCGGGGAGGTTTGGGGTTTTCCTGCCCTTCATTTCCCGGGGTTGGGTTTTTGTTCCGTCCCAGGCAGCTGCTCAAGGACCCGCAGGTGCTGTTCGCGGGGTACAAGGTCCCACACCCTCTGGAACATAAAATCATCATCCGTGTCCAAACCACCCCGGATTACAGCCCCCAGGAAGCTTTCACCAATGCCATCACAGACCTGATCAGTGAGCTCTCCCTGCTGGAAGAGAGGTTCAGGGTAAGGGCACTGTTTTCCTTAAAACCCTTTGGCCTTGCTATACTTGTATACTTGTGGGTTTTTTTGTTTTTTGTTTGGCCCTGTTATACTGTTTTTATGTGTCTTAAAGCTGCTGGCTTGAGGTTGATGAATTAATTCAAGCCACCCTCCTTGTGTTGTTCAGCTGCTGTCAAAGCCTGGCTGCTCTTAAGTGCATTTTTATTTTCTTTTTTCTACTTCTGACAAAGTTCTGAGCCCGTATTTTCACCTCTCATCACTTCTGCTCAGTTTATTTATTGATTTACCCCCTAATCCTGAGATTTAATCTTACTCAGAAAAATTCAGGGAGGCTGGGACTGAAACAGTACCTCTGATGTGCTGGGAAAAGCACCAATTTGTAAATAAGTTTTGATTTTAATTTCAGTATTCTGGTTGCTGGAGAGATTTCCACTGGGTTGTGATTCCCAGAAGAGTCAGGAATGATTAAACACCAACCTGCAGCTCAGTAACAACTCTTGTCTAAGCATGTGTATTTTTGCTTTGGCTTTACAGGTTGCTATTAAGGACAAACAAGAAGGAATTGAGTAAAATGGAGCAGACTGTTACTTCTGAGGCACAATGATGTGTCTGTTACTGGATGAAATATTTAAACCTCCATTCATGGCAAATATTTTCCCCCTTGTCCCACTTCTGTTTAATTTTTGATGACAGCAGCAGCAATATTTTGAGTTTTGGTTTTATTTTCATAGCAGACAGGCACTTTGCCAAGAGGATAAACGTTGTGTTGGTTTTGGTGGATAAGTCATTAAAGTGATTTTTAGTTTTCTAATTGGAGCCTTGAGGTAAATATTTGTCCTGGGCTGTTGGGGAGGTTTTTGTGGGTGCAATTCCAGCATGAGAAGCTGCTCAGTGACAGCTGCAGATGAACCCTCTGCTTTTCCTGCCAAAAACTCCAGGCACTGCCAGCTGAACCGGTATTTTGTTTTATTAAGTGTCATTTCTATAAAACAAATGCACAAATTGTGAAAACATACAGTAAAAGAAACCGGATGTTTACAATGAACTGATGAGTTTAACAAACTCTTACCTTGTTTTTTTTTATTTTTTTTAAAATTTTCTCCATCTTGCACATAAAGCTGCTCTAGAAAAGGTTGATGGGCACATGGTAACAGTCACTAATACTGCACTAGGTCACAGCACGGGGGTGGGACTGTGGCACAGGGGACTAGGACTTCTTCCAGATGGCTGTTATGTTCACACTGGTCAGCACGACCAGGTAGCTGAAGGCAGGGTCTGCCACCACGTTGTTCACCAGGATCTCGGGGGGCTGCTCCCCGTTCACCTGCAGCTCCGGCCACTTGAGGATCTGTGGGAGAGCAGAGGGGGTGAGACGTGTCTGAGGGGTCACGGGGCCCTGGGGATCCTCAGGCACAGGCTCCTCCTTCTCCTGAGGGCTGTGGGATGTTCCTAAAGGGCTTAGGGGGGGACAGGTGAAGCTGCACCTCGGTCCCAGAGGAACCCATTGGTGGCTTGGCAATGCACTTCCCCAAAACCTGAGGAATCACAGAATTGTTGAGGTTGGAAAACACCTCCCAGAGCACGGAGTGCAGCCTGTGACTGAGCAGCACCTTGTCACCCAGAGCAGAGCTCGGAGTGCCACCTCCAGGGATGGTGGCTCCCTTCCCATACCTGAATAACCCTTACAGGGAAGAAATAATGCCACACTTGGTCACTTCACACTCTAATGTAGCTCTAATGTAGCTCCAGCGCAGTGGCTGAGAGCCTTTGGAGTGTTTGTGCTTGTCCTTTCAGAGGGACAGGCAAGGGAACAGTGACTGCCCAGCTGTGTCCAGAGGGAAATGCTGGGCAGAAAAAGGGTGAGTGGGCATTGGGAAACAGCCCTCTCCTGCCAGGGGATGTTCACTCTGGCTTCCCTCCCCTCCCTGGGGGATGTGGTGCCTGCACAGCTGTGCTTTTGTGTTCCTCTCCACTTTTTTAGGGCTGTTTCAGGAGGAGCTGCAGCGGGTGATGGATTTGCTTTGCAGCTCCTCATTCCTATTCCAATGAATGGCCTTGGCCACGCTTTGGAGATTGCTTTTAATGATTTGTGAGGGTCAGCTGTGGGAGCAGAAGGCATGTTCTGGGATAAGCCTGCTCAGGAGAGTGGGATCAGCTGCCCTGGGGTGGAAGGGAGGCCCAGAGAGCACCTCAGCCCTACCTGTGTGGGAGAGATCCTCCGCTCCGAGCGCTTCCCCTTCGGAGAGCCCCAGGCCGTGGTGTAGCTGGAGAGGTTGTACATCCACACACTGCCCTTCTCATCCCCACAGAACACGTACTCCTTTGCTGTCAGAGCAGAAGAAAAAGCTGGGAAACAAGTGTGGAGCTGGGAGTCTGTTCTGTTGTAAAGAACAGCTGCAGGATCCCAATGGAGGGTGCCATATTTCAGCAAAATTCTCGTACTGGCACAAAAATACGAATCTACCTTGCTCTGAAAGAATTCATTTGAGACAAAACAGCTATGTTTAGTGTAGAAAAGCTAGTGCTAAATGCTTTGGGATTTCTCCTGACTTTTTTTAGACTGGTTTTGGGAAGTGCTGACTGGATCAGGTTTGTTTGTTCCCTGCCAGTCTCCAAACCCAGCTGCCCAGTGTGTGACATCCCTGCCCACAGATGCACTCAGCA